CGTCAATAACAGATGGGATGTTTTCTAAGTGCTTTTAGCAAAACTAGACCAAAATACTAGCTGGAGACTTAGAAAACATCTCTGATTGGTGACACAGTGAACAAATGCCACTGCTTTAAAAGCAAGGAATAGGGATGTTTCAAGAGAACAGCATCGAAACATGTATTTTTTCTAGGGTGAAATAGATCACCAGCCCAGGTTGGATGCATGAGACAAGTGCTCGGACCTGGTGCCCTAGGAAGACCCAGAGGGATCGGGCGGAGAGGGAGGTGGGAGGGGGGATCGGGATGGGGAACACATGTAAATCCATGGCTGATTCATGTCAATGTATGACAAAACCCACTACAATACTGTAAAGTAATTAGCCTCCAACTAATAAAATAAATAAATAAATAAAAATTAAAAAAAAAAAAAGCAAGGAACAAGCCTGAGGTTTTCTCAGCGAGACTGCATGGAAGGTAACACAGCAGCCTTTCCACTCAAAGAATCTGTTCAGACTGCAGAATTCTAGGTTTAGTCAGACCCATGCAAGGTAGCAAATGCGACAGAACCAAAGATTGAAGATAGGTGCAAAGGCCTCATGGAAGTTGTGAAGTCATCTTTTCTCAAGGAAAAGATTATTCACCTGGATGACTGCTGGGGCCTCTAAACAGACTGTGAGCCAACTACTGCTGCACACACAGGAGCCACCCTCACCTGGAAAAGATTCTGTTTTCCTCCATGCAGTGCTGGAGAACAGGCATGACATCAGTCATCTGAATTCTTAAGAATTTGGAAACATGCTTGTTAGTGACAGTAAGCAAGAGAAAGTGGAAAAAAAAAGTGAAAGTTGCTTAGTCCTGTCTGACTCTTTGCAACCCCATGAACTGTAGTCCACCAGGCTCCTCTGTCCACAGAATTCTCCAGGCCAGAATACTGCAGTGGGTAGCCATTCCCTTCTCCAGGGGATCTTCCCAACCCAGCAATCAAACCCAGGTCTCCTGCACTGCAGGAGGATTCTTTACCATCTAAACAACAGAAGAGCCCTGCAACTATTTTAGTCCAAGGAGAAACGTATCCCATAAAGTCCTATATTCTAGGAGTAATGTTTTGTCGGCTTGTGGAGAAGTAAACAATTCCTGCTCCAACATAATGCCTCTTCCTAAATATGGACTCTCACAGTCACTGATTAACAAAAATATGTCTTAAGAAAATAAAATGAATAGTCATAACGAGATGTTAAAAGCATAAAAGTTTGAAAATGATTTGGGATGGGCTAGCTTCCCTCTGCTAACAATCTCTGCAGCCACTTCCAACTTGCTGCGTAGACAGTAAGATGGTGTGGGCATATACAGGTTTATAACCTGATTCAGTTTTGTGTTTTATGTATTCAACAGCTGATTCACCTCACTTGTTACATTCTGATTATAAAGCAAACATGGTTGTGTGGTTTGCGTTTTTCCTTGTCAATCACGTCTAGACATCGGAGAAGGAGGTGGGAAATGTGCTCCACCTGAGAATAAACAGCGGTCATCAGGCTAGACCACAGAAGGAAATGATTCCCTTCTCAGTTCATGCACAGACAGAACCAGGAAACAAAGGCCTGACTCCAACGTCTGTTAGCTAATCGACCTGAGCAAGGCCCTCATTCCAATCTGTGAGCTGGGTAAAATGGAGAGAATACCAACCCAACAATTCCCAAAGTTTGACCCATAAGATGGAATTGTTTATGAAGCATTTCGCAAGCTTGCGTATACTGGGGGTAAAAAAAACACAGTATAAAAGAACAAGCCATAGACCTCAACTATAACATCCACTCGAACACCAGGAGAGACAAATCAAAATCCGTCATAATGGTAAGGAAGTTAACTTACAAAAGTACATTTTCCAGTTTGTATGAAAACGGTTTAATAACAGTGAAACTTAAAAAAGTGGTAATATTCACAAAGTGCATTGGTTAAAGACTATTTTTTCCAACCATGGCAAATAGTATGCAGACATTTATCAATGCAAAGCTTTTACTCCCTCTACCATGTACTCTGAATCCTACTTACTATTCACTATGAAACACGATACAGTCAAGAGTTTTTTTTGGCAGACATATCACATGCATCAATACGTCAAATTCACAGCATTTTCTTCCTTAAACTTACCTGACTGAAGGCATCTGATTAAAATGCAAAAATGAACAGTTTTAATAAATAGTTCAGCGTATCAATGTCTAGAAAGTAACAAAAGTACAAAGATAAAGCTTTTTGGAAATTAAGTTAAAACAGAAATAAATTTTACATTTTATTAAATCATCAAATATAATCACTGGGGTATACTTTTATTAGCAAAAAATAATATCAATGATAAAGAAAAACGGAAAAGAGAAAATGCGCCTCAGACCAGAATACCATAACAAAAGTTTTGTGGAAGCTGCATTTTATTTGAAAATCCACCCATTTTTGCTAACATACATTTTAATATTGTAAACAAAAATAGAATCTGCAGAGACAATGCAACAAGTATGCTTAAACTCATGTACAGAATTGCTTTCCTACAACAAACTGTCCTTCTTAAGGCCCCTCTCAACCCAAATGTTAAGATGTATTTACACAAAGCACCGATCAACAGTGCAGTTTAATTCTTCGTTAACTAAACTCTTGGCTAGACATTAATTTTAAAGATACTATTTCCCCTTATTTAAAAGGTACATGATCATAACATGGCATGAGCCAAATAAAAGGTTCAAGGATTTTGTCCCCTCCCCTCCCCCCATAACACCTCCTTGAGTTTTACTGAAAAGAAGGAAAGTCTTGAAGTGAAAGCAATTCCTCACATTCATTTTGGAAAGGCCCTAATGTCAAATGGAAAATAATGACATGCCAAGCACAAAGCAGTAAAGTTCCTTCCCAATGCACTAATGCTGAATTTAAAATGTAGTGCTTTTCCTAGTTCAGTGAACTGTTCCCTTGAAAAATCCTAGGCACAGAATTGACTATAAGGATTAATGCATTTATAATGCTTCCCTAAATCCCATAGAGACTGAGAATTCTTAAGCGATTCAGACCTATGGACTTGCCGTAAAATATTTAGTGCTCTGTATGTCAGCTGAGAAGCATTCTGAATCAGATTCATTCTTATGGATAACAATCACACATACCGTGTACATCCATACTCATTTTCATAAGGAGGTTTGATACAATATTAATGTTATGTAAATTGATAATCATAAATAAATACAAATACTTAAGGAATGTCTACTGCAAACTGAATATATAATTTTTTTTAAAAAAAGAAAAGTTAATTTTAGTTACTATTTCTGTATCTGTGAGGACTGGAGAAAAGAAAGATACTGCATAATGAAGAATTATGATTTGATCCCCCCACAAGAGTCCTGGTGCATTAGCGTAAAGGACACAGCTCTTCTCTCCAGGCAGCTTTTCCAAATACAAATTTCACACTTTCCAAATAAGGGCTTTTCCTGGTAGGTTACTGATTATGGGTATTAATAGGAGTTGAAAGAACTGAAGGGTTAGTCACCAAAAAGACAGCTCTTAGTCTGAAATCATGGCAATTCTTGGCTTTATAAACTGTATTGATACGTTCTCCTATAGACTAGTCCCAGTCTCCTTCATGGGCCTTTACTGGGTTACTGTAGCATTCTAATGGAAGAAGAGAGTTTAAGAGACAGCAGTTTGGATTTTGCTGGAAGTAAGTATTTGCCGCTTGAGCACTTGTCTTTCTGGAATAATTCCATTCTCTTCCATCTAGTTACATAAACTGTATCTGGAAAAAAAACAAAAAAAGAGTGTGAGTTAATTCACTGCACTTAAGAGATACCTTCTCATAAGTAAAAATGCTTTGGGCCTTTTACCATTCAACTTGCCTGGAAGTGTTCATAGCATGCTTATCACAAACCCTGATTACAAAACAAAGTCAGTATTATCAGCTTATCATGAGCTAGAACTCAGTATTTGAAGCAAAATTACAGGGCCTTCCAAGTTTCTTTCTAACTACTAAAAACCAAGGGGTATGGAAAGAAAGAAGATGAATGCACAGTTTTTCCATGACAAGTTCAGAAAATTTCTCCACAAACACAAATATTCCACATAAAAATCTCATTTAGGCAATAAGCGAAATTTTACTTCTAAATATTATACCAAAATTAAAGATAATTAAGGGAACAGTATGATGTTTACTAAAAATTTCTTTACTAATATAAATCAAAATATGAAAGATTTACTTTCTAGTCACTCAGATTCTTCACTCATAATATCCTTTACACTGCTCAACCAAAGAAATTACTGGAACAGATATGCTAGTGAACTACTGTCAAATCAGAAGAGTACAAACTCTCAAAGATCCACAAGGTATATCTACATTGGGGGCTCCAGCATCAAGAAGAACAAGTGACACTGCTTTCCAGGAAAAGAGGTGGTGTGGATTAAAAGCAGAATCTTTCTATCAAAAAGGGCATTACGTATTCACTTGCCCTTACCTTAGAAAAATAACAATAAGTTGGCTTGGGGGGGGAAATATTACCATTTTAAAGTGAAAAGGCATACATAAAAAATATAACCTTTTAAAGAAATTGTTAAAAAATGAATTCTTCACAATGAATCCTGGCCATTATATTAAAACTAAAGATGCTCCTTATTAAGCTTGACTCCAATGTATAAAACTGCTGTTGTTCTCTATAAATCTTTTAAGACTGAATACAAACACCCAGTTTTTAATGGGTGGTGTTTGATCTCATCCATCTGCTGTGAGTAGTGGATGCTTATATGTACACATGTGAGATGGTCCTTTGGTTTCACACCTTCTAACAACATTAAAGACATTTTCCAAAAACAGTTTGTCCTCATGCCCTATTTGATCTATTACTATTCACAGTAAGAACAGAGGAGGAGGAAGAGGGGGAGCCTAGAGTCCTTTAGAAACAAGAGAAGAGCCGTTTGTGCTTAATGTTTGGTAATCTTTAAAAATTATTTCAGTCCCCGTCTCCCCCAACAAGCAGCAATACCTAAAGTGATTTATAAGAAATCCTCCAAAGAGAGCTCTGCAAAAGGGTCCTTTCCTGAAGCTCTGTGAGGACTGTGACTGGAGGGGCTGGAGGCTGCCGACAGCTGGGGGAAAGAGACAGAGAGAGGGAAAGAAAAAAGATCTCAGAACGACAGAACATGAAGGCAGAAAATGTAATGAAAGAGGAGGTGGTTTTTGTTTGTCATCTTTAATAAATATAATGGCAGCCTTTGCAGAAAGCAGAAATCATTAAAACAAAAGTTTCAGTCACATGTCAAGTTAAAGTGTATCCAATGGCATGTGCTTTTCAGAAAACAAATTCTTGTTTTTGAATTCCAAAGGAATAAAGTCTTTTACCCAAAAAGGTCGAAATGAGCTGACCCATGGTTAAGACTTTTATATGTGTGAGTGGGAGTGGGGAAGAAGGGAGCCACAGCACCAATCGTGAGCTGCAGATGGCGGCTTCCGGGGTGGAGGCTGTCTGTCAAATGGTGTGCAAAATCTGACCTCCGTCCAGACCCAACACATCAAGCTGCAATACTCTTTCCTTCCTTCCTCATCAGAGGTGGAAAGTCCTGTCCTCGGTGTTCACACTTTGGACAAGGAGTTGTCTCCTGCATGTTTATATGGAGAAGCTGCAGCTGATGCTTTCATACTCCAGAGGGAGACATGGGCTCAGAGGTTATCTACCATAGTTGAACTACCCACATACTGCCCTGAATATAGGGAATACTTAAGATCCTTGATTCAGCTTCCTGTTAGAATATATTTACTTGATTCTTGGAATCTGCTCCTATTGTTTAAATATACAGTAAGGCAAATAAACTGCTGAAATCAGTAAAATATTTTTAGTATTTCCTCAAGTAAAGACAACTCCCGAAGTACCAAGATATTCCTTTTCATATCTGTATCTCCTTCACCAAGTCTACTTGAAGAGTACTTTAAACCAAATATGAAGCCATTTTTTCTCTCTTTTTTTAGTCACTAAGTCATGTCCAACTCTTGCGACCCCATGGACTGCAGTCTGCCAGGCTCCTCTGTCAATGGGATTCTCCAGGCAAGAATATTTTGGAACAAACTTAATTTTTTTCCTCTGCCTGCATTAGACTGCAGAGGCACACAAGCACAGAAATGTTCAACTGAGCATTAAATCAAAGCTAAGCAGAAATAGTTTCAATTCCTACCTCAACATTCGAATTCATGTAAAGGATTTCAAGGCTCAAAATCTGTCTTTGCTGGCTCAAAGTGATCCCATTTCTGCCCTCCCCCCCCCCCTTTTTTAGCACTACAGAGCATGAATAGCCAGTGAGTTTTCAACAAATATTAATATTACACCTCAAGCATATGCAATTTGTTGTTTTGGGTGCCAAGATTAATTTACAGGTTTAGAAATCATTCTCAGTTATATTAGTTGTTGAGTCATTTTCTTAATCCAGATTTTGTTCTCAGAAATAAATGTTCAAAGACAATGAGAAGAGACAATGGAAAAGTTGATGGAATTTACACAAGCAGCTATGGACAGGAGGACAGGACAGTAGGTCTGGGTTCGGAGATTCAAGTATCATTCAGGCAGAGACAGAATAAGATGCAGCTTAATTGGAAAGATGCTTCTCCTCCACCTTCCATACCAACCAGGATGACCATTTAGAAGCAAAACGATTTTAAGTAAAGTAATCACCAAGCTGGAGGGAGTTAAAGATTAACTGGGTTTTTCTCCAAAACACGATTTCTTTTTCATTTGACATTAAAACAAAAGTCCCTGCTTACTGCAGAATGCCAACCATTCAATATCTACAGTCCCGTATGAGAGCCTCTCACTAACACATATTCTTGTACCACATTTTCATAAGGGCAGCAGTCTGAGAGGAAAATGCCCTCTGAAGAATATGGGAAAAAGGAACACCAGAATTCTTTTCTTTTTCATACGTGAGCACACTAGAGGCTTAATAATAATGTTGAAGAGCATCAATTTTCCTTGGGGGAAAAACTGCTAGTTTCTAATACTTCCACTATTTATTAAACGCATACGTAAGTCTTCAACACCTATTTAAAAAATATGAAGATACATTAAAACGTGGGAAAATAAGACTCAATAACCCCGCAGTTAAGTTCTGTATCAGCAACACCCGTCTGAAGCAGAAGGAGCTTCGGCCCAGACTGGACAGGCTGACTGCACAGCGTGCCGAGGGCTGAGCCACGCAGCTGTCCTTCACCGCCTGTCCGACCCTTCCAGCACCCACGCCAAGGACACGCACATCATGCACTGCTGAGAAAGGCGCCAGTTCAGAGAGCACGTGGGGAAACTGAAGGAAAGGAAATGCACTGCAAGAGCCCAGTCACTGCTCGAGGAAAGAGGGAAGAACAGAGTGCGCCAAAGGGCAACAGGACCCTGGTGGGTGAGAACCAGCAGGATTTAAGGAGCCGGAGAAGGTCACCCGGAACGACAAGGGTTAGCTCTACTTCACTTATCATTCTGGAGAGTATGTTAAAGAATACACAGGGCTGCTAAGTACTGGAGGGTAAGCAATTAAAAGAAAAATCCAATGATCTTTTTTAACTGCAAAATCACTGTGTTTTACAAGGTAGCAATAAGACAAATTGTAACTGACTACTGTGGTCATATTCTACCACAAATATGCCCACACACACCCCCCCCCCCCCACACACATCCAAACAAAAGAAAGGCTTTCACTTATTTATTTCAGTAACATTCTCCATACCACAATTTCCACAGTTAAAAAAAAATTAGTACAGCCATCAGTTTGTTCAAATTAAATTACCTATCCTACAACTAAATGTCATTTAAACAAATGGTCAGTCTCACTAGTCTAAAACAGACATACTTAAGTTTTTTCTCCTTTTTATACGAAAATGAAATACTGAGCAATGAAAGAAGAGCTGAATATAAATAAAAATACTAAAATGTACAGGTAATTGATGATGGCAACACTCAGTTGACACTCCTCCACCCTCTTTCTCCATCTGAATCAACCTTTATAAAATTGTTGCAATAAAGCAGATTTTTATTTTTTTCCTTTTTGGCTGTAGTGTGTGTTTAGCATAGTAAAGACAACAGTACAGAAATCGTAAGTTAACTTTAAAAAAAAGCAAATATTCCAACGTAAGAATTTTTTAAAAATAGAGTTCTATCAATGTACTAAAGACCATAAAATAAAAATGGTTATTATTCCTTCATTCTACAACATTCAACACCAAAGGAAGAAAATTTCATGTTATAACAAGAAAATAGCATCAGTCTCAGAAAGTGACTCTAGTGCAACTGAAAGCTTATAGGAGAAATAAAGGACTGGGCATTTTAGGACAAACTTCTTCACATACATACTGGCTGTGTTTAAAATTCTTAGAGAAGGAGCAACTCTGCCACATTTTTACATTTGAATTTGAACCCAAAAGCCTGGATAGCAAATAGCAACGCTGTAAAGACTGATTTTGTCTTTGCTCAAGAGGCAAAGTGAACATCTTAGGAGAAAAATGGGTGTACTTCTTTTGCCAAGGATGAGAGCACAGTTTTATGTAAAGATGGAGATGGATCTAATCTTGGCTCTTTCATAAAATGGGGTAAAGAAAGACCCAATACCCAAACTCCCTTAATGGCTGCCTTGAGGACTGAAATATAAAAAAGCACCCAGCTCATCGAGTGGCATATATTAGTCACTCAAATATTAGTTCAACTTTCCTTACCCCCTTACAATCAAATGCTCATCTAATTTTATATAATAGGATCAGCTTGAATCTCACTGAATCTGCATTGCTCTTTTAAGAGTTTCTATTTTACCATCAACCAGTCACTTGTGCTTCCATATTACACTCACCTTCAGGCTCCTCAAATTTATAGAAACATTAAGAGTAAGAAATATATTTTGTCTCTTGTTCAGCAACTAGCAGTGACTTAGGCACAGTAAACACATTCTATAACGTGCTAAGTTAAAACTGTAAATCTTACATGTTAAAGTAATAACTAAGTAAAATTTACACATTCTATAACATGCTAAGTTAAAATGATTTTTGGTGATAAAACAAGCTCTGTATAAAAATGATCACTGAAATGGGGTATTAGAAGAAAATATTAGAACTTCCCTATTTTTACCCTCTTAAAAGGTCTATTTCTCCATGTTTTTAATGTATATAACATTGCTGTAAGCATACAGAAGTATAAATACACTGAGGGTACATGCTTAGAGACTACTTTCCTGATACTGCTGTGTAATCAAAACATTTTAGAAACCTCAACCCTACTTAGTATGATTTCACCAAGACATTACCTACAAAACTAAGCCACAGAAAGATATGCTGATTTTGAATGTTACTGAATCCAGATGAATAAGACATAAACATATAGTATTGCACTGCAATATTTTATACTAAAGACAATGCTATTCTCAGTTGCCTTTGAGAAGTATGGCTACAAAGAGAAGATTCTCTATTGCATACGGTAAAGGGCCAGTCCTGGAGGTTGAGTCAAATGCCTTTGAAAACTGTTTCCTGGGTTTATGTTCAACACAACCCCATCATGGGCTTCTGCCCATCAGTAACACCAAAAAGTAATGCCAACATTACTCCTGTCACCTTCAAAGCACTACTCATCTTGTTTTAGGGGCACAAAACAGTAACCTAAGAGGATCTCTCTTTAAATGTATATTGTTTCTAAACTCTTTACATAGGAGTAATGTTATTCCAAAGGGCATCTGAGACATCTCCTTAGGATCATGGCAACGTAAACTGACAAAGAATTAAAGAAAACCAAACAGAAGAGGGAAATGGATCGCAAGACTTCTTAAACTCATGGAAGGAAATATTAACTGCTAAAGCTAAAAATAAACATTTCCATATATATGAAGTGTTTCCAGGGTAAGAGAAATCTGTTTAAAGTTCAATTTGATGGATGGAAATCCTGAAAACTGGCTCAGCTTATGTGAATAAAATGTTCACGGCTCATTCATATATGACTTTAACTTCTTATCCCTTGAAAACCAAAGAAAATGAAAAGCTTAGGTTTATAGCAATTGTACCTAAAATGCACCACTTATTTGCTCTTTATTGAAAATATGGCACTTTTCTTCAGTCAAAAAAACTTTCAAACTAT